TTAATTTTTCTGACCAATTATGCGTTAGTCTGTCAGTACTTACCTATGTTGTCCAACCTATGTATAGAAAAATAATTAAACGTGACCAAAGCAAACTCATTTATTGTTATGTAATATCAACTCATTCGTATTTTTTTATATTTTTTTTTGGTATAGCAGATAAATTAAAAACCCTTCTTTATAAATAAAATTGTTTGAAACTTATATTAACTTTGAATTCTGAACGCCAGAAAACATATCGCATTGAGAATTCGATGAGTTTATGACCGGCAAGCCATTCAGTTTATGAACGAATGATTTAAAGCAAGAAAATTAGTATGCAATGTTAAATAATGAATATTATGTACTACAAGGACTAGCAAAAACATATCTAAGGCYAATTGTTTTTCCGAGCAACGGAGAAACATTAAGTTTTATTTTCTTCAAAAAGCTTGAAAAGTGATAAGAAATTYTATTAATTTTTTTATGAGCGTTTTGATCATCAAAATTTGACGATCATCAAAATTCCGACGTGTAGTAAACAATAACGAACTATTAATTAACAGTTTTTGTTCAGTTGATATTATTTTCGTAATATTCGTAGAAACTTGAAGTTAAATGTTCTAAATATTCAGACTAGTTTAAAGCTATYTACTATAGGTATTTTAAATTATCGAATAGTAACTTTGCTTCTCGGTTTTTTGTTTGTATTTAAATTTTTAATGTTGATTTTGATTTTTGGGTAAAAAATGAATAACCATTTCGAGATAGTTTTACGGCCCATAAAGTTGTTAAGCCTACCTCCTCCCTCAAGCAATAAATAATATACCAACGGTAATTGCGTGGCAGGCCACAACCTTATGAAATATAAAAATGATGGAGTGTCTTTACTTAAACCATAATATATAACAAATCAGAACCGTCGAACCGTGTACACGTTCAAAATCACTTAACGTATGCATTAAACACTGTAGGACGTATAGGAAATATACAAAATGCAAACATGTCATATTTAGTTCTCGTACCTATATAATATGCGATCTACATCTACTCACCCAGGACCGTATTTAGGAATTTGACACCAAGGGGCAACAAAAATGAAATACGCCTCATTAATCATTATACGAAATACAAATTTAAATTATAAAAAAATTAGCCGCCCTCTCCTACTCAGCCACCCGGGGCAACAGTACCCTGTAGCTCCCCCCTAAATACGGTCCTGTACTCACCTGCATACCTACTGAATATTCACAATATTGCAACAGTTAAACCTATATGATGAATAATAATTTTTTTTTTTTTCTAAAACATCGTTTTAATGCCTACATGATACATTTTATGGTGACGAAAGCAGTATATTATACTATTATAATATATCGGACTCGCACTTAAGTACCTACCTGCCTATAACCTATATGTCCTACATAATGTAATATACGCAGTATAACGAGTCTCGTTCAAATGATTTTGTTTGATTTTCAGAAACTTAACGGGTAGGTAGCTTCCTTATCGTGGAAAAAACCTATTTGAATTTCGTTCATTTCTTAAAGGAACACGAACTGTTTTATTTGTTTCTTTTTTCGCATAATAAATTTACCGTCTTAAATATAGGGAATTTAATTAATTTTAAGAGAAAAAGTTTTTATAATTTTTCTATTTTTAATTTAGCCAATATAATAATGAGGTATACAATTAAACCAAGACATGAAAACATACGATCATAATGACAATGTTTACAAAATGTTCAGTAAGTCACGGAGGTCTTATATTGGTCGTGTATAAAATAAACAAATTAAACATTTTTAAAACAAATGAATCATTATACAGGTAATTAAAATAATTAAAAAATTAAAAGTTTATTACTTAAAATTGTATTAAAATTATCTTAAAACCATCGAGGAACGAAAAATGCCTTTTATTTAGGAACAACGAAAGGAACTAGCTAGTTTCTTTAAGCTAGGGACGAGGGAAGATGATTTAGTTCATTTTTAACCAGATGAACGTGTACCTATGTGAAATAATCGCCTTTTTAAAGGAACTTTCCAAGCACTGTCGCGCTGATACTTGATAGTACACATTCATTTGTAAAATATATAATCAATGCAACGCGTAATTATCGATATTAAGTACCTAGCTAGGTAAAAGGTACTTATCCTCGGATATGTAGCCTACATATTGGAAAGTTATACCAGCTATTGCCCACTATACGAGTATTAAAAAGTCGATTTTATTGGCAATAATACTTACAATCGCATACAGTCCCATACAATCGCAACAATTACCAACCCAATACCTACATCTCGTAATGATTTTTATTGATTGTATTGGGTTACTCAAGTCGGTTACAATGTAAGGTACCTATTACAAGTAAATATATACGGTGGTATAGAATAATTGGTTCCAAAACCGCACGAGCTATCAACATTTTAGTTATGGTTTAAGGTTTTCGACGTTTTCGTCAAAAGTACATTCGCACGGTATACTATACGCCCCATTAACACGTAACACTATCAGTAGTATAGTAGTAAGTTGGTATAGGTACCTGTATTATGTAATTAATCGAGCTAGTGAACTTATTGAGCGTTTAAAATTAAATACGGCTCCGGTTTTTGATAATTAAACCTTCGGTGGCATTATTCATAGGTAAGTGCAGTACCTGCCTATATATTTATCATAATTCATATATTTAGCGGRCGTAATAGATTTGAACGGAGCGCTCGGTTGCACAATTTAACCTTTTTAGTACCTGAAAAAACACGACACGATTGCGTACTAATTGAATAAAAGTAATAAATTTACAAATTTTCTTCCGAAAAATGTGTATTAAGAAATTTAAATACGATGGAATATCAATYTATAGTAGCTCGTTATTTGTCAATTGCTATTATTAGGAGTACAAATTAATTTTAGTATAATTAATTTGATACGTTTACTTAATGATAAAAGAAAAGTTATTTAAGAGGGAAAAAATTTTTTTAAATTACATAATTATTTAGGTAGTTACTTGATTTAGTATTAATATATCTATATAATAA